GACTATTTAAGGTAGTTCAAATGGTTATTTGTCTGTTAAGTAATTTTTCTTGTTTAAAAAAATTTAAAGTAAATACAATTTTATATTCAATTTAGGTTAGATTCATATAATTTTTTTGAAAATCGGCAATCCCATCACCATGATCTCTCCTTATAAGTTAGAAATTGACCTATATTGTTGATAATTTAGAAATATATTCTAACTATAATAAAAAACTTTTTAGGATTTTTAGTTTCACAGGACAATAATAAGATATAATTGCGCTGATAAAATTAAAAAATTTTTAACTCGATAGGCCTGCAAATAATAGCAACAAGGTTTTTTTTACTGTCCTTGACTTACTTAGCTTAATTGAATTAGGTTAATTAAAATTGATACTGATTAGAGAAAATGGCTGTTTACTTATTAAAGATTTAGGAATATGTATATATAATACATAAGTATTATATAACAAGATACCAATATCATCCAAAGATGTAACTAAAGGGAGAAAAGAGGATGGCTTGTGTCTCTTAAGTTACCTCAGTTGGCCAACAAGATATATATTTATAATATTTAAAAAATTATATTGATAATATATTCAACAAATATTTCAAGTTAAATATTCTATATTTATTTTAATTAATATATTTTCATAATATTTATAAGCAAATATTTAAAAAGATATTTTTTAAGCACATTGTAGAAATATTTTCGGTGTAATATACTGTATTTATTCTCTTTAATGTATTATCAAAATATACATAAACAAATATTTAAAAAATTATATTGTGAGCATATTATGAAAATATTTCAATAGAATATATTTTTTATTATGTTTATGAGATATTGTCACAATATTTTATTCAAAATATTTTAAAAAGTATTTTGTAAGAATATTTTGACAATATTAATATATTGAAATTGCTATGTGGGTAGTGACATGTCATAAACTATTGTTTTACCAATAATTTCAACTGCTAGATGTGCTAGGGTAATGATCTCAGCAAACCATCAGTATCTTGTGCAATCAATCAAACACGTATCTATTCAAATTTAAAATACATTCTACAATCTCCTTAGTGACACGTCACAAACTATTGTATTACAACAGTTTCAACCGCTAGATGTGCTAAGGTAGATTTT